CCCCAATAAGCGTGAATAAAGGATACTTGCAGGCGAAAGCAACCACAACCGGAAAAGCAGCAGGCGGTAAGCAAAATAAAGGATACATGCAGGCTAGGCACAGGCTCATTTATTCAACATCTAATTCAGGCATATCAAGGACGTCGTCATCCCATTCATCAGCTGACGAGTCAAGCTCTTCCTCAGAAGAGACATCTCCATCAAGGGCGTCCCGGACGTGAGCGGCGAAGGTCGTCTTGGAGAGTGCCGCCTCGGCCCAGCCGGCCTCAGGAGGGCCCAACCGCTCAAAGTCTTCCTGGAGGGACTCGTTGAAGCGATGGCATGGCCGGCCCTGCTTCTTGCGCCCGACCTCAAAGTCCAGGACACGGCGGAGAGGGTGGCCGGGGGCGCGCCGCTGGATGTGGGCCCAGTAGCGCACACGGCATCCCCTGATCGCCCGTGTGATGGACCCTTTCTTCTTGTCCACCCCCCGGAGCCGTGCACGGCGGCGAGGGTCACGCCTGGCCAAGGCCATGAGGCTGGCCACCATGACAGAAGCCTGGCGCCGGAGAGTCGTCCTCGTGGCCTTCGTGGTGGCCACCGTGGCATGGGCATAGCTGATGGACGGCAAAATCGCCGTGCACCATATCCTGGCGACCACCCTTGGAGGCAGGGGGTGCCGCTGCAGCAGGGGTTGCAGAGCAGCCACCGCCCGGCGAGCCTTGTGAATCCTTTGGTAGGCGGTGCCGCGGCGATCCAGCCCGGACGTAATCAACGCCCCTAGGTACAGCAGCTGGTCTACTTGTGGAACCTCCTTCCCGGCGATGTTGAAGGGGCGGGGAAGCTGCAGGCCTGGTTCCGGGTACGGAGTCCTCACCAAGTACTCACATTTGGCCAAATTGAGCTCGAGGCCCATCAGCGCCGCCGCGGCGGTGAACTGCTCCAGGAAGTCGTGCAGGTCCTGCAGGTCGACGGACGCCACCAGCAGGTCGTCCGCGTAGGCTAGCAGGAGGGGGGTGAAGCCCGGCGCCGAGAGGTCCAGCCGGAAGCGAGCCAACCCCTGGACAGCCGCTTTGATCACCCAGTGAAGGGCCCTGGTGAAGAGCAGCGGAGCCAGGGTGCAGCCCTGCTTCACCCCCAGCGCCGTCCGAACCACCCCCGTGCGGGCCGCGAACCACCTGATGGAGGTGTAGTCCGTCAGGGCCAGCGACGACACCCTGTTGAGCAGGTAGGGGCTGAGGCCCTCTGCGAGGAGGACCGCGGCGAGCTCCCGTCGCCTGGTAGAGGGGAAGGCGGAACGGATGTCCAGGGCGAGCACATGGACGGCGTCGCCGGCCCACCAGCGCGCGTCCAACACTCTCCGCAGCAGCATAACGTGGTCGTAAGTCCCGCGCTCCGCCTGAAACCCAGCCTGGTAGAGAGGGATCGGGGGGAGGGCAGCCGTGAGGAGGGCGTGCAGGTGCTTCGCCAGCAACTTGTAGACGACGTTCCCCAGGGTGAGCGTCCGGTAATCGCCGACCGTACGCGGCCGCTGCACCTTGGGGATCGGCTGTTGCACAGATGTTATCCACTCCACCGGAAAGTCGCCAGACTCCCAGGCAGGGCCAATCACGGCGGACAGCAGCTCGAAGAAGCAGGCCGGGGCATGACGGAACAGCTCGCCGGGGAGGCCATCAGGCCCCGCCGCAGTGTTGGTGGAGAGCGTCCTCGCATACTCCCGGAGTTGAGCAGCAGTCGGGGCGGGCGCGGCCGGATCAGCCTGTTCGTCCAGGAGCGGCACCGGGTCGCCCACAGTGAGGCCGTCCGCGACCTGCTGCCAGTCGCGAAGGGTAGGCCCATCCGCCCGTGCGGCCGGCGGCTGGCGCCTCGCCACTCGCAGGTGCCTGAAAAGCACATGCATACGCGCCACCGGCCTGGTGTCGTCAACGGCGGCGAAGAAACGGCCCCGGGCCTCGGTCTCGTGCTGAAGTCGGGCCGCTCGCTGAGCAGACCTGGCCGCGCGCAGCCGGTCAGCGGCGTATGGCGCCCGGCCCGCCCTGTGATAGGCCGTGAGGGCGGCTGCAGTGGCGTTGGCGGCAGCTCGCCGTCGCGGCGTGGGAGGATCAGGGGCGACGGCAAGCACCCCGTCCGCCGCGGTCCGCAGCGCGTCCACCAGCTGTCTCCAGGTGAAGGGGCGGCGTGCATGGGAGACTTGCTCCCCCAGCAGGGCGTCAAGGGTGGCCGCATACTCGGCCTGGAGCTCCACGTCGGTGTTCAGGCGGCGGACGTCCCACTCTTTCCTTGGTGGATGGAGGAGAGGCCCACCCCCAGTCCGAGGTGCCCCAGCCGGGAGGTACGGCCGAGCAAGAGGGGCGTCCAGCGCTGCGACGATCAGTCGATGGTCCGAATGCAGATGCCTGGGCTCCAGTCCAATCACCTGCCGCACCCTGGGAAAATCTGTCAACACATGATCCAGTTGAGATTCAGTGGTCCCACACACCCTCGTGATGCGGCAGCGCACGGCCGAGCGCCCAGTGGTGACGATCGGCAGATTAACCTGCTGGGCCAGCTGCAGGAGAGCCACGCCCGCCACCAGCCGCCATCGGTCACGTGGGAGCGCAGCAACTACGGCCGCCAAGGCAGCGAGCACCGCGCGCTGGCGAGCAGGTCCAGGGGGCCGGCCGGTGCCACAAGGCACATGAGCGCCCACCACCGAGAAGGGTATGCCGAGCACCGTGGCGCGGACTGAGACCACATCCCGATGAGGGAAGGCATACGAACTAATCCAAGTGTTCGGTAGGCCCCGGCGGACCAGGACGGCGGTGCTGCGATGACCGCCTGGCGTCGTCCCCTCGACGACCCAGCGATAATTGGGGGTGTGGGTCACCTGCTTCGCCATCCTGGTCTCCTGGATGACCGCAAGATGGACGCCCTCCTCGGCGAGCATGGTGTCCAAGGCTAGCTGCAGCTCCCGTGGGGAGCAGCCCTGCACATTCCACGTGGCGAACCGAAGCACCCCAGGCCGATGGTCAAGGAGCGGCGTCAGGGCTGGGGCCCTGGGAGGAGGCAGGGTCAGGGCCAGGTCCGCCGTCCGAGGTGGGGCTGATCCGCGGCTGCAGGTCGGCGACCCGGCGCCCCCAGACGGGCTGTCGACAGGGGCGTCGGCAACGGCAGGGGTGGGTGGCGCCCCCGGGTCTGGCAGGTCCACCTCCGGCTCCAAGCCGAAGACGAGCGGCGCCTCGGCCTCCACGGCATCAAAGTGGTAGTACGCGGACGGCGCCAAGGGTCCAGCCCCGAGCACCGCCGAGAGCACGACCGGGAGCACCCGCGGCCCGCCGCAGGCCACCCCCGGCCGCAGGACTAGGGCGCACGCCCCCGGGCGGAGGAGACGGATCGGCCTGGCAAGCAGCTCCGCCAACGCCCTGACACTCTCCAGGCCAGGAGGTGTGGCCGGCCTCGCCAGCAGATCGAGCGCCACACAGACGGGGTCCTCGTCCTCGGCAGCCGGGTCCAAGCGGCAGGCTATGAGCGCAAGGCTATGAGCCCGCCGGCGTGTCGGTCCTGGTGAAGCCGCAGGTGATCAAGCACGGCCGCACGGAGCTGGCGGGCGCGGTGTGGAGCATGCGCCGGGTCTTGAGGGCGAAGCGCCAACGCCGCCGCGTGAAAAAGCGAGTCCGGGCCCGCCGGAACCTCCAACGTGGTGACCACCGAGTCCTCTGAGACGAACTCAGGCATGGCAGCTGCTCAACCTGGAGTGCAAAAGAAGGATGAGAAAACAATATCGCGGGCTGGCCCTCCCCCATGAGGCCTGTAAACGCACCTGACACCCCCCAGGCCAGGGCACAGAGAGCAGACGATGCCGAGCCGACCCGCCCGGCTAGCCAGCGGCAGCCGAGTGACCGACCCGGCTCCCGGCCCAGCCTTATAGCCAGCCAGCTCGTCCGGCCCAGCCAGGGAGCGCCAACACAAACCAACAGCCAAAACCGCGCCTCGCGCCCGCGGATCCGCGGACGGCCGCGACGTCCACCAGCCAGTGCCCTTCCCGTGCGCCCCGGTGGCAGGAAGAGACAGGGGAGGGGGGGGGGCCGCCGCCCCCCCGCGTCAGCAGAGTCCAATCCCTGCAACAGACAGCACAGCAGTATTCGAACGCAGCAACGCCCCCCAACCCCTTCCCCTCCCAGCGCCCAGTAATAAAGGCGACGCCGCCCGTGTCTCAGCCATTCGCCATGAACCAGCAGTGGAGGATGGTGCCCGGGTCCGCGTCCACCCACCACCTGAGTAAGTAAACAACCAGGGGGTAGGCACCCCCCTTCCCCCCCGCCGTGTACCGACGCAGCTCTGTGTTACAGCCGACGGAATCGAGCCCGGCCTACAGGTGCGCGATAGCCCCGAGCAGCCCTGGCGCCCCGCAGACCCCGATGACGACCTGGGCCTCGACACAGCAGGTACGTCCGGCCCCCGACCAGCAGCCCCTTGCACCGAGTAATGCCCTGTTTCTGCACAGAGCCCCGCACCTTCCGTGCTCTGGCGCCGGCCGGCGTGCGGCAGGGGGACCTCCTCAACCCCGCCGCCTTCAACGCCGTCTTCATGGAACTCGCCCTGGGCCCGGCCGTGGGTCCAGCCGCCCCCTTTGGACCAGCACTGTCGCCCCTGCGCCCTTCCCAGTCAGAGAATCGCCGGCCCGTCCAGGCCCCGCGGCGCCCACGTGATCGGACCAACCTGCAACAAAGGACGCGCGTGAGAAGCCCAAGTGCCGGCAGCGACGGGGAGAGGAGGCCCCCCCCCGCCGCGGCCTAAGAATGTAGAGCGAGTAGCAGGAATAAGTACAATAAAGCCCATGCCCGATCAAACCAATGTTGTCATTGCCCCATCAACACCCCAGCAGCCGATGCTCCCGCCGGGAAGGGGAGGGGAGAGGGGGGAGGCCATCGGCCAGCCGGCAGCATAAGAGGCAGCGCGCGCCACCGCTCGTCCCACATCTTGCCGACCACCCCGCCAGCGCAGATCGTCCGCGACAGCTCTTCTCGCAAGTCAGCCATGTCCACTACACTCTGGTTCCGCGTGTCCACCAACGCACCCGTGGTCTGGATCGGTGAGTAGTCCAGCTCGCCCGACCCGAATCATCCGGCCACCGTGCTCACCGTTCTTTGATTGCAGGTCCCAGTCACCACCTCTGGGTGGACCCAGACCACGTCCCGCTCGCCATCTACAACCCGGACATCGCGGGGTGGGAGTTCGGCGAGACGGCAGCTTGGGATGAGGTCGCCAGGCCCCCAGCCCCCCTCCGCATCCGCCCTCGCCCACTTCCAGCAGCGGGCAAGGGTGCATCGGGAGCCCCAGCTCCCCATCTGAGCAAGGTAGTCCAGCAGGCTCCCTCCTCGTCGCCCTTCTCCAGCAGCGACTCCACCGGCCCGTCGGAGGTGTGGAGCACCCCCAGCCCCGGCCGCTATCGTCAGCCCCAGAATGACAGCGGGGTGGGCCTGGCAAGCCCCCTCCTCCTGTCGCCGACGCAGCCGGGATGGCCGGCCTCGCCTGCAGGCGCCGTTACAGCATCCGCACGTTCCTGTAAGCATCTCAAAGTCCAAAACGTAAACAAAGTGCAAGAAAACAAACACTAACCATTGTCCTTTACAGCGTCACCCTCGAGCGATCTCTCCTCCCCTTGCGGCCCGCCCTGCCTGGCTCCATGGAATTGCGCCTGTTGCTCATCCCCCGGTACACTCTGCCAGGCCTGCAGGGAAGCCGCCAGTGCCGAATGGGAGGCCGAGGTGGCGGAACGCGCCCAGCGCGAGTTGGACAAGGCCAACGACGCCGCTGTGGCCGAGGCCCACTGGCTCGCAAAGGAGGAAACCTGGGCTACCGAGGATGCCCAAGCAGCCTGCCAGGAGTTCCTGGGCCGCGAGTCCGATCTAGCAGCCGACCTAGCGGTGGCCGCCGACCTGGGCCGTTGACGAATAAAGTAATCTGAAAAAGAACCGTGTTTACCTGGAACCAGATACGCCCCTCCACCCACACACATAGCAGCAATGAGCAAGTGAAATAAGGAAAGGAAAGCGCAGCAAAGTGAGCGAAGCAAGTAAGCAAGGATGGGGCGCATGCCTAACGAGCCCTCCAGGGCCTACGCGTTCGGAGTCTAGCAGAAGCGGGAACAGTGCACTGCCATGCATTAATTACTCTGGACAGCCCCTGCCCCCCC